GAAGCGACCACCGGTCAACATTGGCAGTCCGGGTGTCCAGGTCATCACACCGTTCAGGCTTCATCCGTCAGGGTATGCTTTCGTTACCAGCTTGGAGATAAACTTGATTCACTGATAAAATGTGGGATCAGAAGGGGCCTTTTGAATGCTGTTTCTTTGGAGTTTCAGCGCAGATATCGATGTCACTGATGGTGTTAGACACCGAGCGCGACTATGCACTCTTATCCAGAATTACTTACTTTTTCACCTGCAACTCTTCGAACCTGAAAAAAAAATCCGAAAAAAAATTCTGTGTGGTCCTCTGTCGCCGAGAAGTAGATTTGCTGAGAAATTTAAAATGCTAACAATTTACCGACATACAGTTGTTGACGGGACTTCAGACGGTTTCACTGAGTTGATTAGGACTAAGACTGATAGCCTTCTTCATTTCCTGGCGCAACTGAATATCATTTTTGTAAATGTTCGAAATAAACACAAGGATTGGCTAACGATGCGAGACTGTAATTTCTGCGTAATGTGTCAATTTTTGTGAGATTTTTGGAATTTTGTTGCAAGCACTACAACCCTAGAAAGTGAGGAAGATTCTAGTTCAGTACTAATTCATTGTTGTCAGCGTACTGTGCAGCTGCAGCTAAATTTCATAGCCGTGTAAAAGAGTTCGAGCCTTTTTCTAATCTGATTATCGCATGATTATAGCATGAAAGTAATATGAAGAACGTAGAAAAGAAGGCAGGAATAGAACGAACTATGTAGTGCAAGAGGTAGGAATATTTCTGGCGCAGGAGAAATAAGAAATTGGATTCTTTTTTCTTTGATACATTCAGCAAAAGCGGACTTCCGTTTATGGTTGAGGAGAGGAGTTTCTGGCTAGTTCCAGTTTAATTCGGTACTTTATATTTTTTTGTCCCAAGACCGAAGGGTCTGGCTAGCTGCGCTCGATGTGTGGGAGTATCCTAGTAACATCACTGACAAGGGGCACTGATAGTCCGTGCAGTCTTAGTATTCTTGCTGTGTATTTGTCACCTTTTGTTTTCATAATAGCGCATTACCGAGCCGTCGATACACGCTCGTGACTGGTCTGACATAGGTGACGTTATCTGCCGTCTAGCCTGTCGACAGTAATGCTGACGTTCGCTTCTTCGCTTTTCAGAATTTTGGCTTAATGGTTATTAGCTCGGTGCTTTGTCAGCTACTATAGCGGACAAAGCAGCGAGCTAAATAACAATTACACCAAAATAAAAATATGTAATAAACATATTATTCTTTTGGTCTTTCCATTTTGTTTTGATCCACGCTGGATTTCAAGCCACTGAGCCTCGGGGCTTCTACTGTTATACGGTTCTGGTTTAGGATGGTTATTCTGGTTAATCGTGGTTGGGTTCCTCCGCAAAAGATCAGGCCCGCAAGTCGAAAGGAAGGACAAGTGGAAGGTCAGGTTACTTTCGATGCAGTTGTTCGACACACTGAGAAGGTAATTTTTCAATATTTTCAGTGTAATGTCAGGGATTAATGCAGTTGTGCTAGTGTT